AATAAAACAATTAACTCTAGATCATTGGTTGAAGTGCCAATTTCGTCTCCATCGCCATAAATGCAGTCAGGTAAATTCATCTTTTTCATGCGGTACAGGTACTTACAAAAGTATACTAGTCTGGTCGACCTCTGAGTAAGATAGTAATTTGCGTCTCCCGATTTCCGTTTGAGCCAAGTGATTATATTTGATATCAATCTAGCTGTCCATCCTCCCTGAGTGCTATTCTTCTATCTTTGTTGCCAGATTTCGATGCTTTGCTCCGGATCTTTTCTTGCTATTTGTAAGGTATAGTTGCCGGTTGTTTTCTTGTTGCATACTCTTTGGCGCTCCTTTGCTTGAAGATCAATTGGAGTTACACCTGCTATTACAAAAACTGCTTCCGCAGAGACAGTGCAACATGCTATACATCGCTAATATTTCTTTTCTGCGCATTTTGATGTCTTGTGCGTCTGTCCACACTTCGCTACCATATAGATTTATATAGATTTGCGTTTACTGTTGTCATCAACAATTTCCGTTTTTCCGTAACAGGTTTTCCCGTGTTGGGCTTTAGTTTGCTTAAGGCAGCAGTGGCCTTTATTGCTTTCTCTAATGCGTACTTTATTTGCGCCCAAAACGTAAGTTTTCCATCTAATCTTATTCCAAGGTTATCAATCGTTATTTGAGTCCTCAGCACATCAATATTTATTTGCATTTCTATTTCTGTATTTATATACCTTTGAGTTAGTAGTAATATCTCTGTTTTATGAGTAGACAGCTGTAAGCCATGCGAGCTTAACCAGTCCTGTACTTTCAGCATCACTTTTGTGAGTTTTCTTTCCACTAATTGGGTATCGCAACCGGTAATAATTGCTGCCCCATCATCTGCGTAAGGTACTAGAAAGGCATCATGTGGCATCTCTATATGTAAAATGTCGTCATAAGTTGTGTTTCAAAATTCAGGTCCTAAGATTGATCCTTGCGCTGCTCCAGCAGTTATTTGTACCGTTTTTAATCCATTTTTTGTTGAATAGATTAATTGTCGGTTTGTTAAGTAGCTTCTTATTAATCTGTTTATAAAAGCAGGTACTTTGAAGTGATTTTCTACCTCATGTATGACGTCTTTCCGTCTGAGACTATCAAAACCATTTTCGCGAGCAACTGAGCACAATTTTTAATTTCGCTTGACTTCAAAACCTAATTGAATTGGATTTTTCTATTATTCGCTTAACTTCACAGCTTTTGTTTATTTCGTTCCTATCACATACGCATGTGTGGTTGCTTGCGCATTTGCCTGTCTGACAAATTGTATTCAAGTAATAAATAAATTTAATAATTCCTTCCTTCATTCGTTTTTTCTCATTTGTTTTTTTCTTTAACATTTACTTTAAGAATATTATACCTATTATGTATTTCATCACTTGTTAATACCTGTTGTTGCTGAAGTTTGGTGTTGCCAAAGTTGTCCATAATAACTAATAACTAAAAATTTTCTACACGGCAGTACCTACAATTGTACTCAGTGGTGCACAAGTTTGGAGTTACAAACATTATGATCAATTGAAAAAAGTCGTTACATTTTTTATAAAAAGATTTTATTTCTATCATCTAACACCTCAAACTATATGCTCCACTTAGAGACAGGCTTACCAACGCAGTTTGTAGACACAATGCAAACACATTTCGTCTATGTAAGAAAAATTCTTAATCTTCACTCCACAAGGTTTCCTCGAATACTAGCTGACCTTACGATTGAGAAAGATATATATTGGATCAAAGATTGGAAAAATAGAACGGAGTCCCTTCATAACCAGTATTCGCAGTATGAATCTTAAACTATTACACAATAATATTATAACTTTAAACAAACGGAATTAACACGATTCTATTGTCGCAAATGCTAGTTCGGGACCATAAAATACTTGTACAAGAACGGCAACTTAAATATAAATAAAACAAACCAACCAATACAGTTTCAAAATAATTTACTACTACCAGACCAAGCATGTTCTTTCGTTGTTGCAAGTCGACCCACCACGAGTGAAAATTTTTACCACCCCGAATAGAACGTTTCACCACCACGAAGGGTCTTCAAATATTTTTCTAACGAAAGAGGGATATGAAGAGCTCAAAATGGGTTTTGTTTTGTTTTTTTGACAGGAGAAATGCACGCCAATAACTGAAAAACGTAGTCAAATCAAATTAAGTTATTAAAGGTAGTGAATAAGTTTCTTTGAAAAAATAATTATATATGTCAATTATAATTACAATTTCAGTTATTAATATTTAAAGATGGTGCGGAATTGCGTAATGGAGTGTAAGTTATTTAAGGGAATATGAGAATTACCTATAAATGACGAAAGAAGCTAAAAAACAATAATTTATTAATTGTGGATTTAAAATATATGTTTTATGTTTAATATGATTTGTTTGCTTATGTGTGTATAAATACAAATTAGTAGAGCAAAAAAATACGTGAGTATAAAAAAGTGTTTTAATAAAGTTTTCTTATGTGTTAATTTGTGTTCGTTAAATAGTGAAAAATCTAATAAGAAATAAAAAAAAAAACAAAAATTGTATGTTTGCATTGTATTAACGTATCAATAAAAGATATTTCTTGGCAGTATACCGAATCATTTTGTTCATCACAAACTTCATTTCTGCAAAATATTAGTTTTAGTGTTGATATTGATTTAAATGAAGAAGGATTTCTTAAGCTAAATGCTTTTAACTACCTAAATATTTTGTTTTTTGATTGTTGCAATAGCATTTTTACCAAATTTTAGTCATTTTGTGAAACTATATTGCCTATGTTATTTTAATGAATACTCTAAAACTGTGTTACGTGGATATATTCCACACATTTGTCAACTTAAGTTTTATCTTACTTTCTACTAAATGAAATACAAGACAAAGCGCAATATTACAGTTTTTGTTTAGGAATTTATCCTACGCAGAAAGTAACGCGTTCTGTTTACACACTTCTGAGTGCACCGAAGATAGCTTACTGTTTATGCTATAATCAAACACCACCACACTTATCTTAAGAATGCAAATCCCAGCATAACTGATTTGATTTTATTAGCTTCTGCCGAACACTTTCTATTTAATTCTAGAAAAACCTTAGAAAGGGTGGTTGTGGTTTTAATGCATAACAACCGTAAACATTTATAAGCTATCTGAAATTGAAAGTCCTCTTTACTTAGGCAATCATTTATTTATACTAAAATGTGTCATTTCATATAAGGTGCTATATGATCATAAGCTCTAATAAATTTATATGTTTATAATGTCATTTCAAATCTAAAAAAAATATTCATATATTCTACACATAAACAATACCAAAATAAAATATTTTTTTAATTTTTATATAATGTGAAATTTTTATAATACTCATCAAATAGATGAACTAAAAATGTATAGAATATATCTCGTTTAAATCTGGCATTAATTCTGGTAAATAGTAAAGCTTATTTCATTTTATAAGGATAATAAATTATGTGAACAACTTGTGCTTCTTTTAATTCAACTTAGCTAATATTTTTAAATACTTTAATATTTATTTTTAAATATATATTACAGTCATAATGTAAAATTAAAATTTAACAATATTAATAAAATATTTTTTTATTAAATTTTATTTACACAACTCATATAACTCATATAATAAACTTAACAGCGAATGCGCATGCACCCACCCCATCAATAGATTTTTTGTTACTGATCATACAGAAATGTATGCAAACTAATAATACGCGTCATTCACCACATACATATGGAGCGAATGCGTGCACATCATTCCTTATCAATAGATTTTTCAGCAATAAATTTGAAATCCAATTCATCATTCACCACTCGAGTGTTGCCGTATAAAAATGGAAATTGGTAGTAGCTGCGGTCTTTGTTAATAATTACACATCATAACAGCATTTAATAATATTATTTCAAAATTAGTTTGAAAATAACGTTTTACACGCTCAAAATACATTGAACAAAATATAATTCATTAATTAAGAAATATTCAAATCTGTTTTTTTTATTTAAATAAAAAATTCGCTTCTACAAAATTTTTGTTACCAAACATAATATATTAAAATACTGTAAAATTCATATGAAAAAAGCAATAAAAATTAAGAATTTACTTAATATATATTACATGACTAAGCAAATTGAACTGATTTGAATATTTATATATTAATTTATATACTTATTTATCATATATTATTTGTTATAACATATATATTTTGTTTACATAATGTGATATTATTAACCAAATAAGGTACGCACAAGTTTTTTGTATTATTAAAAGCTAAACATATGATAAGCAAATAGTAAAAAATTATTATACTGCAACCTCAAAAGAAACTAATTTAACGCTATCGTGGTAAGATTCAATACGTGTGCCAAAATGTTATAAATTTCTATTCGTTACAATTGAAGTGAATGGAGTTTCCATTCTAGTTAAAGTATTCTTTGGTCGGGATCTCATGACATGTACCCAAAGCTGCAAGATAATATAATATGCACCAGTTATTTGTATGCCAATCTGACACACAATAAATATGTTAATGCCAATTTAGATTTTAAGTAAATAAAAATCTAATTTCGCTCCATCATTCTAAAATTTGTATTTTAGCAATTTGTACACAACTTTCAATATCGAGTTTCATGCGACGATTCAGTCAGCATTTAATAGTGAACGTTTGTTCATTCATACATTTACGAAGCAATAAGGACAATGTTTGATTATGTTTGACGGTGGAGGCTCATTTACATTATATTAATACAATATTTTATTATAATCTGTGTGATCAGTTCCATCCGTATTTCTTATGTCTGGTATCATTATTAAAATACTTATAACAGATCGATCAAATCGCTTTATCAGTTTTGTTAAAACATGATTTTATTTGATGTTAATAATCTTTGATATCAATCCTTATCGAAATTGTAGGTTTAAAACAATTTTTTATCGGTGTTTGAGAAAATTTTTTGCGTATGGCAACATTGTTTGTACAAGTATTTGATTGACTTTGGTTTTACTTTAATAATATTCTGAGATAATTATACAGTTGTTTTATTCAAAGTTTGGAAGTTTTTTTCGCGATTATAATACGTAAATATTCAAAATGTTAATAACTATTAAAAATCTTTATCAACAGACTTTCACTATAGTATTCCAAGCAGAAAAGACGGTAAGTATCAGAAGATAGATTCAGTAATATAATAGCGAAAAACGTACGCAGTGATGAAAATTCGAAAGTGTCATAAGGAAATTTGAAAAGTCATTGGATAATACTCCAATGACGTTGTTACCAACGAAAATGTATGTTTTGCTTATAGCTTAAATATCACCTAAAGATGTTGCTTGAGATAATGGATATTATTGCCCGTTTTATCTTGTTAAAATCCTATAAACGAAATTTACATTTAAGATTATATTGGCATTTTATTTTGCACATATAGCTATAAGTCCATTGTGTTTACATATGTACGCTATAGCCTTTGTCTATGACTTTCTTTGTGTGAAAGTTTACAACGTATTAAGATCAATTTATTGTAAATTATTCTAAATATAGATTTGATTATAAATATTCCTTCTACTACTCTACTCCTTCAAACCTTTGTCAGAGAAATCTTCACAATATTAGTAAATACAATATAGATGAACTCAACTATGAACTTTAATGTATATCTATTGGATTAATGGTTTGACTTCTTGATCAATAATATAATCTTGAAGGAACCTGACTATCTGGACTTCCTGCCAGAATGGATTTTTCCGATGGTACCGAGTTTTTGGTAATTATGTTTTATACATCCTCATTACTTACACAAAAGTTGTTCGAACGTTCCAAAAACTTGTGGGCAAAATTATCTTAGCGAGTTTTTGTCGAGTAATTTTGCTTTTTGTTGACAAATCTAGCAAGACGTAAACAAGAGAAAAAACAACACTGAACCGGAAAAGAAAGAATTTCAGAATTATATGATTAATATTTTAATATTATTGCGGCTTAGTATTGAAAATTACTACAAATTAGTAGGCGGAGATTTCTTCGTGTAAGAAAATATCGTAAATAGAGAGCATAGCGGTAAATTCTGCGCGAAATGTTAATTTCATAAACATTCATGTAAATGTGTTTGAGGTTAGGTCTGAAATGTTCGCTGACCTTTTTGAATTTTAGGGCAAATGATTTTGTATTTCAAAATTTTTGTTTTGAATTCAACTTATGTGCCGAGACATCCGATAAATAAAGCTTCAGCTACTTATTCAGACGCCACTTAAAAAAATTTAATTTTTATAATTTGTACCGTAAGATTTTATTATTTTTTAAGATTCTAAATTTTATTGTAAATCGTTTTTTTAATAAAAGCGATTCAATAAACACATATTGTTAAATAAAAAAAAAATATTTTTGTTCAATATTTAACTTTATAAATTATATTTTTTTTATTCCACAGTCAATGTAGCGTTATCGTTCTCCCACCCCACCCTGCATGCTAAACCTCAAGAGCAATTATGTGTATAAAATATTTTCTTTGATCAAATTTATAAATGTTTTTATGCTCTGCAACATTTGTAATAATTCCAAATCTCATTTAAAACAATAGAAACACATAATTTCAAAAACCGATTTTCGTGATCTTTGACCTTGAAATACAGAGGTATACAAATTTGAAACTTAATAACTAATAACTAAAATTTCATTTTACACATTTTGAGGAATATTTTTGATGTCAAAGCTTGAAAAAACCTATTCGTACATCGATATCGTTTTTAACGGCTTTAGAACATGTAATAATAGCCCATAATAAAGATAAAGATCAGTAATATGCAACTACATACTAAAGTTATGTTGCAGTCGTTGATAGAGAAAGAACTGAAACTATTTCTTCCTTAGGGCATGTTATTATCACTAATTCCCTTTATATTTAAATTCCGAAATACCCGAAGCAGGTTTGTTGATGTTTAGCGGCGACAGAGCTTCCACACACACATTCATAATTTCTTAGGTTTTTAATCTAAGGTTTGATGAAGGAAATTATTTTTAAAATATATAGGCTCATTATAGACTACCATTATGGAATATGTAAAGCATGGAACGGATATCCAATTTTTCGGCATGGGTGTCCACAGTTCAGTGGGCTATCAGCACTACCACTATTTTGTTTTGTTGGATTTTTGTTCTCGATCAATTCTAAATTTGTCATTATAATTAAGTTTTTTCATGCGCCAATAAGATACATATACACCCAATTCAGTGTATTCCAATTGTGTATCAACGAAAATATTGTCTGAAATAATATTAGGAATTCTTTTCAAAACCTAAATTGGCCATATCTACTTCTATGTTATTTTGTAGGATAGTAAAAATTTTGGTGTCCTGCTTGGTGCATCTTTCTAGTATTCACTTTCTTGGAGATTAAATACAAACATTGGAGCAAGTAGAGAATGATATTGCGAATTGGTGAGGGGCATGTTATCCAGTACCTATACCTGCTATTCTTTGTATCTATACTAGTTTGTTAATATTATATCGTTTATAAAGTGTTATCCATATAACTGTAGTGTACATCTGTAAGATGAAGGCCACAGAAAAAAAGATATGAACGCTTTTCTTAACGGTTTATTACATTTGGTTTCTCATTAACCTTATTATGCCAGTATAATATCTTGGTTATTTGTCATATAGCCATAGTAGTCAGTTTTCTGTGGTTCTATTTTCAGCCAAATATTCGCGGTCTAGTATCGATGGAAGTTGATGTTAACATTTTCACACCACAAACAAACTTAATTTGGAAACAATATTAATACATATGATTTGTAACTGGCTTTCTAGTGTGGAGATATAAACTTAACACTACTTAACAGATACGAACAATAAATGATTTTTTTAAAATACCATGTTAGGGGATTCTAATATCATAAATCTTAGCTATTCACGTAATGTATATATATATATATATATATATATATATATATATAATATGTATACAAAATAAACAGAAAACAGAAATTGAAGCACTGAATCAGTATTGAAAATCGTAATGAACAATGAATTGTGGTTAAATTTAGTAATATAAATAGCGAATAAATGATCATTTAAATCTCTTAAATCAGCGAATAAATGATCATTTTGGCACTTAATAGGGGTTTATAAGAAGAATTCTATCGTTTTGATTGCTGCTTTACGCGTGTTTAGTGTTCATGTCTAATTTATATATAGTTATAAATCAGCTAGGAAACTTTTTTGGATTTTGGATTATATTTGCTGACAATGTTTTTGTTGTGTTATGGCTAAACAAGTCATATGAATTTCTTACAACATTTGCATATGGGTCATTCTTTTACAATAGTTCATTTTCTAGATCCATTCTATACAAATATTCTGTATAAATATTATTGTAATATTATTATAATTTATTTTAAGGTTTTAGAACTCAAACAAGCAATTTTCAAAGAACGTGGATCAGAATATGTCGTTGATAAGCAAAAACTTATATATGCTGGTATGATATTCAAGTAAATAATAATAAATAGTTTGAATTATAATTTATTTTAAATCTAGGAATAATATTAGCTGATGATCGAACTTTACAGTCATATAATTTCGATGAAAAAAAATTTTTAGTTGTTATGTTAAAACGTGACATAAATGAATCAATACCAAAAAATAATGTAGCTGAAGAAAAGTTAAATAAAAGTGACGATAAAGAAAAACCTATGGAAATAAATGAGGGCACAGAATCAGTAACAAATACCACAAACTCTGAGAATTTGAATAGGAATTCAGATGTAACCAGTGCAACGGAATCCACACGTCAAGTCTTGACCAACCCGAATACGGATAGAGAAACTAGCGCAAATACAAACTCAAGTCAAAGAGATACAAATGTGCTTGAGACTAATAGAGATTCCCATATGCCTTTAGGAGAAGATTATGAAAGGACTGTGCTTTCATTGATTGAGATGGGATATAACCGCGAATTGGTAGAGAGAGCAATGGCAGCCAGTTTTAACAACCCTGAACGTGCGGTGGAATATCTTTTAAATGGAATACCAGAAATTAATGAAAGTTTTAGAAACACGACTACAGAAAGTTCGACTAGGGCTGTTGCAAGTAGTTTGGTTCCAGAAACACAGGCAGCTACTCAATTTTCATCTAATACTGCACAACGTCAAGGTAAATATATAAATCATAAATTTATAAAACGTAAATTGTTATTAATAGAGATAAATAGAAATTAATGCCTCATTAAAATCTGCTCAGTTACATTTATGTTATATTGCTGGTACAAAACATTGTTAGACTCGATCTGTTTTTAATTACTGCTCGGTAACATTTAAAAGGTAAACATAAATATCTCAGTTAAAATCAAATATTGCTGACGAGTTCTAGTTTCAAACAGTATTTGATCGTATAAATATTTTATCTAGATAAAGCGATTTTAATTTTAATTTAGGTCCCAAAAGTATGGATGGGCGCAGGGTGATGTTTTATAACTTAGCAGTAAATGCAGGGAATTGAAATTTTGCTCTTGTTAAATCATTACACATAACTTAATAAAAATTATATTTATATAATTCTCTATAATTTAGTAAATGTGAAAACAGCAAAATGTGTGAGGTAGTTGTAAAATTAAATAAAAAATAACAAATTGTATATTTAATTAACAACTCTTAAAATATTTTTGGCATAGTCCCTTTTGAGCTGTTGTCTTGCTGGAACAGTATTTAAATTTTTTTCTTTTTTTTTTTTTGAAAAATAGGATTTGATCACTCAAAATATTTGTCAGTTACAAAAATAATGTCAGAATCAGATTGAAATTTTTCCCTAGCATATTATATTTTTAAACTAAAATGTAAATAAAAATAATAATCAGTAAAATTGACGAATCAGGTAATAGATCGTAACATAATTCTATTAAAAATACTGTTGAAATTGGTGACAAATGAATTGGTACGCTTTTCTTTCCAAAACCGGTTTTTTTTGGGCTCTGAAAAGTAAGATCTTCAAAGTAAATCAATTATAATTATGCCATATGCGTCCCACAAAAAATATATCATAACCTTTTACTCTAAATTGTTATCACTTTTTTTTAGAATATATCCATTATTAAATCAGTGTTTAGAATTTTATTTCTTTCTCGGATTGAATTATTAAATGTTTATATCACTGCTTTAAAGTGATTAGACTAATTCACTGTAGGTAAACAAAGCAGCAATTTTGGTAAAAAGACAAAATTTATTCGACGCTCTGTCACACTACACAATTAAAGAAACTGTTATGATCAATGTACTTATTGCAAAGCGTATTTATGCTAAGCGATCATAATGATTATACATTACCGAGATGTTTGTACATATTTAATACCATAAATTAATACTTATTAAATGTAACAATTTCTATTACTATTCTTATCAGATCCTTTCGAGTTTTTACGAAATCAACCTCAATTTTTACAAATGCGCTCTTTGGTGTACCAAAACCCGGATTTATTACATGCAGTTTTACAACAGGTGAAGAAAAATTTAGTACTTTATTTGTTTATTTATCATATTTTTTTTTAGATTGGTGAAACTAACCCTGCTCTTCTGCAACTTATATCAGAAAATCAGGATGAGTTTCTTAATATGCTAAACCAACCAGTAGAGGATGAAATAACCGACAACAATGCTTTATTATCTTCAACACGTAGTCAAATTACTGCTACTTCAAGATCTGCATCAAACAACGAAACATCAAATGTTATTTCATCACAAAATTCAACACCTTTATCTGTTACAAATGAAAACGTTGCAGAAGTTAGTAATGAAAATCCTTTGTCTAATACTGGTAACAACCCAAACGTACCTCAGTCGTTAAATAATACCACCACAGAGTCTTCTCGTGGTAATACTACTGAAAGTGTTACCACAATTCGTTTAACACAGCAGGATCAAATTGCTGTAGAACGTGTAAGTCAGCTTAACAATGCTTAAAAATAAATATATTTATTAATTTAATTTTAATGTTTTTTGCTGGCCATAAAGTCGATTTCATTTAAAGAAAAACACGTGAATTCTATTTGATCATAAATTTTATGTAAATTAATTAATAATTGAATATTTCGATCATTTTTGATGGTCATCTCTGGAAACTATTTACAATAATTATAATATATACAAAAATAGAGGGGTTTTTTTCAACAGTATTAAATTGCAACAACAAAATATTGTTTTTAATTAATTGAATTAATTGCTGACCACACAGGTGTTTCAAGTATAGCCAAATATGCATTAACAGTGGTCTTTTCGGAATAATTTCTTATATAATTATTCGTAAATAATTTTTTGAGAATGCAAGTTAAAATTGTACCCTTCTAAATTCGAACTTCAGAGTCAGTGTTCATTAGCAAGCTGACCCAAAGCCTTACTTGACTTGTATGTTCTAACTGGGAGTCGATTTGTTAATTTTTTGTGAAAGTTCATTAATAAATTCATTTGCTGTGTTATATTAGAACGAAATCATGAACCAGCTGTAGGGTATTTGAATAAATTAATTATAGTTATTTTTAATTGTAATTAATTATTATTAATTTTTCCACTCATTAGTGGTTAGTTCTGGAATTATTTCTTATATTTAATCATTTGTAAATAATTGCTTGAGATTTTTATTTTTTGTTCTTACTTAGACTCTGTAAATGTAAAGATATGAAACAATGAAAACTATTTGAAGAACAGATGTTCCTTAGATTTGTTATAGTTAATTTATATTTTTATGTTGATAGTTGTTGTAAAGTATTCTTGAATATGACTATCGAAGATGGTCGAAATATTGGATTTATTAAAAAAATGGACGATTATTTAGAACTTATACGTGTATTATTTAAATAAAAAAACACAACGTTAAAATTAAAAAAAGGACTTTGGTCATTAAAACAAAATAACTTTTAAAAACTCCACGCGTGTAAGGCTCGTGTATATATCACGCCTTATGTAGCATTTGATCAAAAAATAACGAGAAGTTATAAAAACACGCAAAATTTTAATTTTTAATAATTTTCTTTATTATCGCCTTCAAAGTACTCTCCTCCTGCGGCTATACATGCTTGCCAACGCTTGATCCAATTTTCCACACAAGTTTTATAGGCCGTCGAAGGTATGGCCTTTAGTTCACGCAACGAATTCTCTTTTATGGCCTCTATGTTCTCAAAACGAGTCTATGGTCCTCGCAATGGCAATTTGAGTCCTGGGAAGAGGTAAAAGTCACACAGAGCCACATCTGAAGAGTACGGTGCTTGGTTGATGACATTGGTGGAGTTTTTGGCCAAAAACTGCGACACAACCAACGCTGTGTAAGCCGGTGCGTTATCGTGGTGTAAAATCCATGAGTTTTCCTTCCATAAATCTGGCCTCTTGTTGCGAATGGCCTCACGCAAACGACGCATAACGGTCAAATAATACTTCTTATTGACCGTCCGGAAGGAATTCATAGTGCATCACACCACGAATATCGAAGAAAACAGTGAGCATAACCTTGATTTTGGACCGACTTTGGAGTTCTTTTTACGGTTTCGGCTCACCTTCGAAGCACGATTCGGTCGATTGTTGTTTGGTGGTCAAATTCATAGACCCTTGTGTTATCACCAGTTATTTTGCGTTCAATGAATGTGGGATCACTACCTGCGTTGGAAATCATTCCTTTGGCTACATCACAACGACGCTTTTTTTGAATGAAATTCAGCTAAAAATCGCCACACGAAAATCTTTCGACTTCTTCGTATAGACGCCAAACAAAAACTAATCGTACGATATGCGTTACACTTTGACAGAATGTGTATAATAGTGTTGTGCCAGTGTGAAAATAAAAAAAAATTTACCGATTGGATAAGCGCGGGAATTCAAAAAAAGAATAAATAAGTTCTTTTTTGATCACAAGCTATATATCAATAACATTATATATGAGGCTAAACAAGCAGGGACTATCTTAAAATTGTAATTAATTGTAATTAGTGTTGTTTGTGGAAAATTTTTCTTAAATATAATTATTCGTAAATAATTATGCTCGTTGGTTCGAATTGAAGTATCGACATGGAGCTAAACTTAGATTATATTCTCATTAAAATTACAATGTCATCTGTTGAGGCTGAGATATATTTTAATGGTAAACTAAATCTTGTTTTTAAATTTTCTCAACTTTGACTTCCGAGAAAACACTGGTAATAACGACTATCAAAATGACAAGTTGCGAACTACCATTAAAGTCTTACTTAACTCCTCATTGAAAAATTTAATAGAAGCATAATTTCTAAAGCTAATGCATAGCAATTTTATCGATATTTTGTGTCCAACGTTTTCGCTTCTTTGAGACACGCAGATAAAAGTGCCATTTCCCGAAAACACACTGCGACGATGTTATACTGTTTTCTTGTGGTAGTGCCTCTTCCTTTAGCTATATGAGCCCGTCCGAAAAAATAACCAACGTTTTTGCACATCACTTAAATATATCTTCTCAAACAACCCCAGTTATTAAAGATCATAATTTTGTAGAAAATCAAAAAAAAAAATTAAAAATTTATCATCCATTTCCGATGCGTGAAAAGAAATCGTCCAACATAATGATTCACAAATTTAGTAAATTACCTACATTATCATCAACATATTGACTCATCAGTCAATTTTCTTGGCTTTTTAAACTTTTGTCAAAACAGGTATTTCAATATAAACCACATATCAAAGTCGGCGGCAAAATTTATCTTTAGTTATTTAACTGGAAGATCGCAGTCTTTTGTAGTATCGAATGAATTCTCGACTTTTAAAAGTCTTCATATTGGAGTTCGTCAAGGGTTAATTATGGGTCCTCTTTTGTTTTCAATTTATATAAATGATGTCTTTTCAATTTGTAAATATGCTATATTCTATGGATATGCTGATGACATCCAAATTTATATTTTTTGTCATTTCACTGCTATTCATAATCGAATTCAGAAGATAAACGTTATTTAAAAGAATATAACGCTTAGGCCGTTCAAAATAAAATACTACTTAATGCAAAAAAACAACAATTAGTACATAAAAAATATGTCAATGGTTTGCCTTAGGTGTTTATTGGACAATAATTTATCGATTACAACACTTTTGTTAAATGTTTAGGTTTCTATCTACACACTAACTTACATGCTTGTGACTACGGAAATCGCCTTAGATGTCTTAATCTATCAGCGAAATATACCCTTGTTACTCGCTACATTTTCGTAAAACAGTTAATAATTCCTATTATTATATTTTCCTCTTTAGTTTATTCTAAATTAGATGTGCTGTCTTTTGGTAAGTTAAGAAGTTTAATGAATTCCATTACGCGATATGTTTATGGTCTTAGAAGATTTGATCACCTGGGTATGCAATCTAAGGTTGCCTGTTTGTTTGTTTCTGTTTGAATTGGTTAACGCTAAATTACCTGTGTACCTTTTCAATTGTCTGCAACAATAACGATCCAATAGATGCTAGTATAACTGCTGACTGTCAGCTCAGTTGGCGTAGATACACATAGTGCTTAGGTACATTTCGAATTCATTTTTTTTATTTTTTGGACAGAAAGCGGTTCTGATAAATCGGATGTCTTCGTTGATGCCAATTGTAACGAGTTGCTCAATCCATTTTAATAAATAGCACAATGATTGATACATGCTCTTATAGCTGAAGTTATTTGTTGAAAATTCGTTTAACCTGCTCTTAGACTCCTCGTTAAAACAAAAACAATATTTGTTTTGGTCCTTTTTACTACTGAAGCGACAGGGATTGGCGATAAGAATTTGTTGAACGAAAACTTAACAGTTGTTCCATGTCGATCAATTAATTTCTAGAATTGAATTATGAAAGTTTTTTTTTTAACAATTTGAATACTGTGAGTTTTATCATTACTATTAATTTTATAATTTATCATACTACTTTCGTCATTGTACCATCACATTAAAACGGAGAATTGTTACCCGAACGCCACCTCAAGCCTCCATAGTGTTATTATATCCTTAATATGCAAAAGTAACGGCTATTAGTAATGAGAGTAACCTTGAACTGTTAATAAAACAAAATAAAACCAAATGTTTTATATTCTTACTTTCTATTATCAAATTTAAATAGAAGGTGTGTTTTATTATTAAGGTATTTGGATCATTGTTTCTTTTACAAGCGGGTCGGCTTTGATTTTATCACCTCTGATTTGTTTGGAATTTTTTTTTTGCATTCTTTTTTAATCTTAAAAAATAATTTTTAAAATTATTTTCAAATACATGCGTACATTATAAATTGAATTAAGTAATAAAAAACAAAAACGTTCATAATATATTTTTCGGTATTTCATTAAAGAGAAATGAAATGAAATGAATTTTATGCTGAACTTCCTCAATATTTATAGTTAAAATACAATTTTTATGTTATGTTAAATTGGTTGGCGTCTATTACAAATAGTGATGATATAGTTGTCAGGGAGAGGCGATTACATTATGATCATTGTTATCTAATGATATTGTCCTTGTTAATACGTTTGATCTTCCTGATAAAGTTGAGTAAATCTGACAACGGTCTTTTGTGATACTGTTATAATTAGGTGGGACAGGCGTGTTAAACTAGCCGTTGTCATCTCATGGTATTATCCTTTTGAATCCATTTGGTTTTTCAGAAAAGCTAAGTAGGTTCGAAAAATTTGTTTTCGTTTTCGAAAATGATGAATATGCCACCGTTGAAACATCGGGGCAATAGCACAGTTATAATTTCATAAAATACATACGGAGTCCCAAAACCCATTTCGTTTTATTGCTCTCTAAACAAAACCAAAAGGTTAGCCCACAAGTCATTTGTCATTACAATGATGAATGCCTCTATACTTCTAAACAATTCCCACATTGGAGTCAGTATCGATAAGTCGGCTTTATTCTTTTGGCCAACTCGTCTACTATATCGTTCCTTTCAATATTCCTATCTCCAAATATCCACCAAAGAGAGAAATAGACCTTCTGATGTTCGATGTTCACCATTGAGGTATGTCATTTTATTGCAATCCTTGATTTCATCGTTATGGATTCGATTGCCTTCATGACTGGTTGATGATCCCTTTTAATTTTATCTCAAATTGTATAGTGTCCTTAATTGGCTGATTTGGAATAAAAAATAATGCCAAGATATTTGGATTTCAAGGAAAAATAGACAGGGTCATTTCATACAGTTTGGGGAACGTAAAATTAAGGTTTGTGTTCCGTCTTCTTGTCGTTGTAGTACTTTTACTGAATGGTATCTAAGATCACTTAGCTGATTCACTATTTAAATGCTCTATTGAAATATGATGAGTTCTTAAGGTGATTTTATAGAACCATAGTAAAAAGTCTAGTATATCATTCAGAATCAAACAATTTCTTTGATCTAATGGTGGGTGAGCTCTATCTAATTGGAGTTCATTTTGTTACGGTAAATCTGATATAGGTGAATCTTGAAGTTCTAGGTGAATTAATAAATACCTAAATAATAAAAACGCATTTTTTGAGAAAATTATATTCCATACTCCAATATAGTTCGCTATTAGTTGCACACACCAAGTCCAACGAACTTTCAACATTTGGATACCTTGTAAATGGTAAGATTTATCAAATCCTCCAAAATGTACTTCAGTTTCTCATTCCACTTCATCATTTGCAAATGTATTGCTCTGGAGACATCTTTTCAAGATTGAAAAAAGGTAATAGGTACTGGGATCTAAATCTGGAAAAATACGATGGATGAGGAAGCAATTCGTACCGTAATTCAATTAATTTTGCCATAGTTTTCAACACTTCTGGAAATAAAGATATTACCAAATTAATTTCGTGATAAATTGTTAACCGATTGTTAAGTGAGCTATATGGCATGTTGCGCCGTCTTGCGTCTTGTTGGAACCAAAAACGCCGTCTCGTCGATGTTTAATTGATAAATTATTGGAAACCAAAATTCAGTTAGCATAGCTCAATAGCGCTTGCCATTCGCCATAACGACAGCTCCTTTTCCATTACGAAAGAAATTAGGACCGATGATACGTGTAAATCGCACCAAACAGTCAATTTTAATGGATATAATGGTGAAGAACGTTTAACGGCTTGAGTATGATTATGTTTGCTCCATATACGGCAATTTCATTTATTGACGTTATTATTATGTTGACCGTAAAGTAGACGAACTGCTCTATGATCTTTGCGAACAGTTAATTTTTTTTAAAAATAAATTTCCACAATTTGTAAGCGCTGTTGTAGCGCTAAACGACTCATGATGAATTGCCAAACCTTACTGAACAGAAATGTCAACACAGTTTAATATTCTCAGCCTTCAAACCATAGTTACCGATATCGATAATTCTCATACAGCTAAAAAAATATCCTATACATGTTTGACTAATATAATATCCTTAACCATAATATCAAATGTCAAATGAAAATAGTTAACTCACTCTTAACATTACCTAGTGTTCTCTTAATATTAATAATTTAATTTTTAATAAAATTTTACTTAAAGAGGTTTTCGAACAGAAGTGAAACAACAACAAAAATTTATTTTTTAAATTATTTTAATTAATTGAATTTTTGGCTGACCATACAGCTGTTTCGAGTATTGCCAAATACCCTTCATCAGTGGTCTTGGAAATAATTCTTGTATTAATTATTCGTAAATAATTATTTTTGAGACTGCAAGTACCAGGAATCGAACTCGGGTCCTGCCAAATGTGAAGCTCAGAATCAGCGCACCTTAACCAACTGATCCAAAGCCGTACTTGACTTTTTTGTTCGCATATTTTTGCTGGAGTTTTGTTATTAACAATTTTACTTGCTGTATTTATATATTAGAACGAAATCATAAACCAGCTGTAGAATAATTGAATTAATTAATTAATTATATTTTTTATTTTTAATTGCTAAATTTGCTAAATTTGATAAAATTTTACTTAAATATTTTTTTCTTTTCTTCAACAGTTAAAGTCCCTTGGATTCCCAGAGGCTTTAGTACTTCAAGCTTATTTCGCCTGCGAAAGGGATGCGCAATTAGCTGCAAATTTTTTGTTTTCTTACTCATTTGATGACTAAAAAGCATAATCGTTATCTTTTTATAAAATTTTTCATATTAATTTAAATGCGGTTGAAATGTAGAAAACAAAATAATATGGTAATTTATATATATATATATATATATATATATATATATATATATATATAAAGTGTTTACATTTTATTTAAATAAATTCTTTGTTATATTTAATAACACGACTAAATGCTTCTATTATTTTTTTTACCAAAAATATTATCGTTCATTAAATACTTATTTGTAATATCTAATGGGAGGAAAAAACACCAAGCTTAAAATCGCCTTTATAATATTATTATTTACTTTAAATACAAATGTAAAAAATGAATCAAATTAAAAATAAATTATACAGTGAAAAAAATGTAAACTTAATTTTTATTATTATAACGTACAAGTTGTTCAAATTGTCTTTGATGTAATGGTTTTAAAAATAAAAGAAACGTCAAAAAAGCTTTTGTGCAAAAATTGATTCTCGCGAATATCATTAAATGAACTGCGGTGAAAGCGCAAAACAGAAACGGCGACAAAAATGCAACGAATTGTAAACTAAGCTTTACGCTACATTACTGTTTGATCGAATACGTATATAAGACGACACATTTGCTTAGCAAAGGCAGTTAGTGATCGACACTTGAAGGCATCACACTTAGTGATCAACATCCCAAGAATACGTTTTTGTACTGTCGATAAATCTCATAGGCGTGAATACGTTTATGTTCCTTTCCTCATAGGCGTGAATACGTTTATGTTCTTTTCTTTCTTTATAAGCGTGATTATATATATATTATTATTGTATATTATATATTTCATTATATTTATATATATTTTGCTCCGCCAAGTAAAAGTGGTAAAAAAATCATAATTGTTAGACTTAAGAAATTTAACTAATAAATAAACATTTAGAAATTAATATTTAAACACAGTGTCCTTATTTCGTAAAAATTTGTTGTCACGACCCAGGACAAACCTGTGAGTTTACCCTAGCAAAAGAACGAGCAAAACTGGTCGTTACAAAGTTGAACAAAGAAACAAAATTTTTCCAAATGTATTCCGAAGTTTTTAATTTTTCATATTTTAGGTAAATTGAATGTTAAATTTTACTAGGAAGTCAAAATTATCAGAATTATCAGAACGAGCTCCAGTGATATGCAAGGTAGCCATCGTTCTAGTTTTATCAGATAGTTTTGAATAACTCATCTTTTGAGTTGTTCGCCATCGGAAGGTAACTCCGTTAAGAATGATTTTTTCGGTGAAAGCTATAGACCCAGAGCTTAATTCAAGGTTGGAGACCCCATCTGCGATCTAAGTACGAAAACCGAATTTCCCACACCATTCTCTCACAGTAAAGAGTCAAAAGTTAATAATATTGGAAAATACCGTGGGAAATTTACCCGATGAAGCGATACCAATGCTAGCCGTATAAGCTCTGGCCCTGCATAGTTTGAGCAGTGTGTTTACCGCTATATGGCGTTCTTCAACAGACTGCTCTACAGGATCGGATACTTCCGATGTCGGAGGTGATAATCCTAGTTTTGAGAAGAACCTTTACAAATTTCAATAAACTATTATCCAAGTTTAGATTTCAAAAGTATTGTATGATAGTTTTAGAGCAGATTTTGCCCTCGATATCCAGAAAGATGGCAAGTGTGTATATCTTGAGGGAGATGCAACGATCTAATTGTGAAATAAGTGTAAAGAGTGCTGTATTGACAGACTTAATTAACGGATTAATGGTTTTCCTAATGTAAAGATGAAGAAACCTTTCGAGTACTTTCAGTAAAAAGGAAAAGAGACAAATTGGTCGGATGCTAGAGTATACTGCTCTCCCTACTTTAATGAATACTACTCGTTCTACTACTCCAGCAGCTATGGATATACAGCAGTTTAAGGATACTATTGTTAGATGTTTAGAAGCCAGTGAAGAATACCGCGCTAAATATTAGCTGAACCTGATCAGCTGTCCGAACCTGGGGATTTATATGCTATGAATGTTTGAATGGTCCACTTTATTTGAGTAAAGGTCAGATGAAAAGGGGTGGGGTAATCAAAAGTGGTGAGCCGACATCTATTGATACATGATTTACTCCCTGGAAACTGTGTGTCTAGAAGAATTTCAAGTCTCCTTGCTAGAGTTAGTCCATTGACCATTAGGAGAAAGGTTGCAATCTAGGGTCTAATGGAAGGAATTAAGAATTTTGCGCAATCAACTAAACTGAAAAGAAGCTCATATGTATGGGCTCCAGTTTCCTGTAGCTTTAGCATCACTGAAAAAATTTGTACAAGTTTTGCGGATGTGTGCAGTTGTTAACTTTAACGGACTTACAGGCCCTATTAGTAGCAGACTTAAATGCTGCTTTTAGAAGGTCGACCGCACGATCAGTATCAGAGCAGTTAAAAATAGTGGGTGCAACTGGCTGTAAGCTAGGCTTAAGGGTTGATCGGGAAGTGTGCCAATCAGTACGTATTCTATTGCTTGGTTTAACTGATCTGTTCATTTCAGAGTTCACCGCCAGATCAAAGTCAAAAGTAATGTATTCGAGAAATGTGTCGTATGAGAAAGAGCAGTCCTGTGATATGGATCAATTAGTAAGAAAGCGTGAGGAGTGTTTATTAATTAGGGTAATGTCGAGAACTTGGCTTCTATTTAAAGTCATGAAGGTCGGTTCGCCGCCCATATTAGCAATCATTAAATCATCTTCATGAATGATATCTAAAATACACTCACTTGCTACACTTGCTCAGTAGTGTAGTGCTGCTCTACATTTCATAATGTCCGTTGAGTTTTATAAATCTTAATGGTGACCCACCCGAAACCATAATTGATCATCATCCATTTCGAGATATTAGGGGCGAAATATTTTTTGTTGATAACGGCCAGCGCTTCCAGAAACCTTTACAACCTTCTTTTCCAATCATGAGTTGGCAAGTCGGTAGTGTTCGCTCTATGGAGAGCTAATATTTCCTCTGGCTGTGTTAGCTCCGAAGGTAACCAAATTACCTACCTACTTGCCTGGACCAGGTATGTTGTGAAATTTTATCCACTGAAACAAGTTTAGGCTGTGCGCCAGGCGATTAGCTAATGTGGTCTAATGTGGTCTGAACAAGCGATTGCTTGATGTGATTCTAGTACCAGCCTGCATTACGGAAGCTAGGTATGGTCCTGAACGATCTCACTAAAAAGTCAAGAGGTATGGAATCTGAAAATTTCTATTTTAGAACGCTTGCTCGACGCAGGGCACAGTTTGATCAACTTGCTACGCCGACATTTGGAAAGTAGTTTGAAATTTTCTTTTACCTGCTTCATTGAAACATTGGCGCCATCTGCAAGCGGTCAGCGGCGTTAAGCCCATTAAGGATTCGGTAGGCTGGATGGAATGTATGGAATGTTTTCACATGTCACCCCGGTGCTACCGTACCAGAAGATAGCTAGGTCAAAAAACCTACCTATCTTCCAGAGGAAATAGATTATTTGTCATTATAAAGAGTACACCACGAGGAGGCAATCTACTCTACATCTCTACAAAGTGTATTTACATGTTATATTGTGGTACATGTGCGTTTTCGACAAATTTCTTGTAGTGTTTAGGATTTGTTTCTCTTATAATTGTTTAACAATAATCTATCAACAGACTTGGATCCCAACCCTATATATATATTTGTCTATTGCAGAGATATCCTGATGGATATCTTAAACCCATTAATATAAGCCAGATTAAAGTTACGTAGCTTAAAATATTCTTACAAGTTTTAGCTTTAATTTGATGTGAAATACTTGAAATGTATTTGATGTAATGATGTAACTTCATCAAAAAAATGTTATGGGGGCATATGCAGAGTGATGTCCTGAGAAGCATCAAACTAACGGTTTCTTGCGAATAACTCGAAAATGGCATACAAGAAAAAAATCATTATGATTTTCAAGTTTTGTGTTATAGCTGTTTTACCTGTTTCAAACCCGTGGCTGCACGATTATTTCATCATCAATAATTGAAAATTCATAATTAGCTTTCAGTCACTATGAAAATGATCCATTCAAACATAAAGCATTACTACATTCATGAAAACAGTGTTATGAAATTCACTACATTCGTTAAAAAAACACTTAGGGGATCACTAAAGTACATTATTTTAGTGTTTCAGACATGTCGTCTTCATTTTTAGTGTTTATAAACACAAAGATTGAAACTTTATTGATTTGTTTCGGAGTGCATTGTTCACTTGTTTTCACTGGTTCTAACTTTATACCATACATATTATTATCAAATTCATGTGTGCTCACAATGCCTATATTGTCTGCGTATTTGATTAACTTGCCGGAATTCTTATCATAAGCACCTAACTTTTAAATGCCGATAACATGGCTTTTGTTTCCAACGCTAGATTAAATAAAAACAGGTGAGACAACTTTCTTTTTGTCGGAATCGTCAGATCGGAAATTTTCTTTTTTATTTTTAATTTATATTCGTATTCATCATGAAGTTTTCGTATTTCATCATGAAAAACTGAAAGTTTGTTGAAGGCATTACTTTTAATCTACGTACATATAACATGCACTTCATACATTTTGTGTACCCTTTAAATTTCAGTTAAATTAAAATGTAAAAAGTATTGAAAATATTTATTTTTTAAATTTAATTCGAATTAATACTAATGACCTCTACATAGTAGAGGTTCTATATAATGCCAGCAACAATATGAGCGTTATGCTCACACTGTGATTTGAATTTTGGATGGTTTTTGCACTATATTTTTTGCGATGCGATGGTTATGCCCACGATAAAGCAGACATTTATGCCGTAGCGCCCAGTATTGAAAGTTATAGTTTTATTCCTGTTGAATACGACCATCGCATTCATTGGCTGCTAGTAGGTTTGCAACTAGAACTTGGCGATCATTATTTCTGTCAGTTTTCCGTGAGACACCTGATATTTTGTCGATTTAAATATGTTTATAATTTTAATATAAGGGTACTTAACCTCTAATAAAAGAGATTACCTCTAATTATATTTTTTAACTGTAAAACTCCATTGAAAGAAATAAATGGGGTTTCAGCATTTGTGAATGATTGAAAGTGAACTGTTAAGTTTAAAGCGACTTTTTAATTTTATTATTGTATTTGTCAGTAGTGAGGCTTCAGCTTTTTGGCAAGGTGTTCACAATTTGATCAAAACAGAATTCCAACTATAACGTATTCCCTCTACTTCTAAGTTTTGTCCTTTCCACAATCAAATAGCATACAAGACCAACGAAACAATTTATTTAAATGTTCACAGCCTGTGATCCACCGGTTTTTATTTACCATAAAGCTGTAGCTGTAGAAAAACGGCGACTTACCACAGATTTCTACATTTTTACATTAGGTACCAAATTCTTCATATCTGGAGTTGGTCTATTCATTTTATGACTTAAAACCTTTTTTTCAGAAGATCGTTTAAAAAAAGATATTTGAATCAAATCTTTAATCACACATTTATCCATTTCTAAATATTATTTTTCACTTCAAATTTCTTTAATTTTTTTCTTTACTTTTACCATTTGCTAGTATAAAATTGCAATAATGACTTTGTTTTTGATTTATATCCAACATCTACATAAGAGTAAGAAACTCTTATCCATTCATTTACTCTTTTACTTTGTATTTAATATGCGCGGTTCAGTTTATTTACTGAACCATTTGCCCATATAAAACAGCAACCGTGACTTTGATTGTGTTTGCACGCTTTGTATGAACTTATGGTTCAGTTAGGTCGATTGAACCTCTAGTCAAATGTAAAGCGATTTGGAGGTTCACTTTTTTTATTGAACCGCTTGCACGCATTAATTTAAGAGTTATGATTATATTACATACATATTTTGCGGGGCTTGTTTTCTCTTTTATTTTTATATTTGTTTGTATGTTTTGTGTTGTGTACTCAATATTGAACAAAGTCCCAATGTGAATGTTATTTGATTTACATGCTTTGTAAGCAGCGCGGTGCCGTTTTTATTCTGAACCTTAGTATATTTTAAGAGGAATGTGTTTTCGCTTTTATTAATTATAAGCAATGTTGGGTGTATCTAACATATGTGTGATTTTGTTTGTATTGTACGTTTTGTGTTTATGTTAATCTGTTTGGAAAAGCTATTATAAAAAATATTAAGTAGCAACATAGCGAGATTATTTACCTAATAAAAAAATCTAAAAAGGAAGCTTTGTCAAGGTGTTCAGTGAACACTCTGAACCATTCGACGCCTCGCCTCTGGTATTTGTATTATTTTTATCATTTCATTTTACTTATGACTTATAATTAGTTTTTTTTATTGTTTTAATAGGGGGTCCGTGATGTTATATTAAAAAGTAGTTAGAATTCTCAAAAGAAAATTGTCTTGATGACATAATATATAAACGCAGCTTGACGGTTCCTGCTGGGTTATTACGCTATACTTTCACAGATCTCCGTTATTATTGCTTAGTGTTTTTTAAAGCTAATTTTATAGTAGGTAAGTAAACAAGTAATTAAATAACAATTTATTTTAATAGATCTCATGTTTATTTATTTATTTATTTATCTTGAAACAATTGTCTCCAAATTATTGTCATGTGCTCTATTTAATACATAATTAATTGATATTTACTAATATTATCATTAAAATCATTATAGTAATGTTTAGAAAGATAGTATAAGGTATTATATAGTATTTTTATATAATGACCATTGCGCCACATTGCATAAATATGATTATATAAGGTACATATATATTTTACAATCTTTTTTTTTTTTATCAAATCAATTCCGATACCGTTCATTAATTTGTTATAGATATTTAGAATTTATTTAGATTTTGAGAGAATATAGGTCAGATTCTTAACCATTATAATAGCTTCAAGGACTTTCTATTTAAATGCATTTTTAATTAAATTTCTTTTTAAATTGAATATATATATTCAGAATTTATGGTAAATATACGTAAGATTTTTAGTGTGTTAAAATGGTATCGCAGTTTTAAATTATACTTATTTCTGCTTATATTAAAATACATTCTAACAACATACGTACATATGTCACCATTAATATTATAACGGTTCATATAAATACACAATAATATATTTACAAAAAAAATGCATATCCATTCATATTTACAATTTGATTTAAAAATTACTTAATTATATTTATTGTCACAATAAAGACGTTGATGCGATTGAAAATTGACATTCGATTATTAGTTTGTTGGATATGTAGAGGTAAAATTTGGTACATAAATATTCAACAACTCTATCTGTACCAGCTTAGATACATATATCTGTTAAGATAGAGTACGTATAGATAGATATATATTTTCTTTTTGATTGTGAATTGCATACACCATTCCATATACATACGTATTTATGTGTATAGAATCACGCTAAAAACTTATAATAAACAGTCAGGAACTTTTATTATTGCTATACGCTCTAGTAAATTAACTTATATAATATTGTATTAATGTTAGCCAAATTCTTTGATAAAATAAAATAATAATAATGTGATTAAAATATTTTAGTAATATGAATATAAACTCATTTGGTACTTTCACTTTTAAATTTTTTGTATAATAGCATTTAGTTTTTAAATACTATCTCAAAAAAAAGATATTCGTTAAACCGATAAAGAAAGTATTAATCTTTTGTAAAGAATCATGTCCAATTTTTATGCTTTCAGAATCAATAAAACTATATTGACCACTTTTTGACTACAATTAATATTCATTACCGGTATATATGGTGTAAATTTCATTTTCCAACATATAGAGTTCATCTCTTCAACTGTGTCTGTAATATTCTATATAAAATTCTTCAAGTTTCGTACATAAGTTTATTATTAAATTAAGGTCAAAAAATACATTAATCGCTTCACTTCGAAAATGAATGAGTTCTACTGTTCTATGGCAGTTGATTTTGATGCAAGGGAGTTAAGTGTTGCAATAAGATTAATTATATTAGTTAAAAAAATTAAAAAAAAAGGAACTAATTTTTTATACAGATTGCATAATATCTGCCAAGGAAAGTATCTAACATGTTCACGTTCTTGTTATCATTTTATTTTTTTAATTATTATTATCATATTTATATTATTATCCTTATTAATGTCATCATTATTATTATTATTATTTTTGTTATTATTTTTATTATACTATTATCATTATTATAATTATTTTTATAATTGTTGTTACTATTTTTATTATTATTATTATTTTAATTATATATTATTGTTATTACTATATTTAGTATTATTATGATTTTTATTATTATTTTTAATATTATCAATATTGTTAATATATTTTTTTTTTATTATTGTTATTAGTATTATTATTGTCATTAATATTTTTAAAATTAATATTATTGTTGTTATTGTAAATATAAGTACCTGAAATCTATAACTCAATCATGTTTTGTTTAGGTTGATTTTCTAAAAAATGAAGAAATTTAATGTGTACATATATATTCATTTCGGTACATATTTATATAGAATTTATTAAGCCCATACGTTTACAAAAAATTATTGTCATATGCTTATTTGTCATTAAATACTTATGCATCAAAATCTGGCAATAAAATGTACAATCAATATTTTTAATATGATTACTTTTATAATTTATATACATTTTTATCATAAAAGTTGCTTTGATCTATGAATTATTATTTGTATTGTATTCTCGCTATTTACTTGCATAATTGTTTTAATATAACCGTTTTGAATATGGATCAAAATTTAAGTTATTTTTAAACTTTTCATATAAAAATTCGTCACTGTCATCTTTCTCATCATCATCTTCATAGAATTGTCCTGTTGTTTCGTAACGATTGCTTTGTTGATGTACATTTTTCCCAAATGTATCCAATCCTTTACTTTTCAGTGTGGGATTAGCCATATAGAGTGGGTTAAAGCGATACTGGCGACGAAATTGACCATAATCTCCACCCTAGAAGTATATAAATAAACTAGCTTTTATCTTGAACGAAACATAGTATATAAATTCAAAAACAAAAAAATTAAACAATATTAAATTAATATTGTTTTATGAGAGGTCTTCAATAGAAAATATTTATTTACAACAATTTTATTTGTTTGAATTTCTTCCGCCCGCCCCAACATATAGCAGCTGCGACTTATCTTCTATCCAGGTAAATAATCAGTTCTTACTGCCTTAAGAACAAACTTATTGACATATAAAAAGTTAATAAGCTCATATGTACATATACACAAATAAAGAGATAATGTGCAAATCTTATATTTTCTCTTTATTGAAAATTCTAGTTAATGATGCCCAAAGAATGCTTGTGACTGCTTTAATTTGGGAAACCATCTATAGCACATATATATAAATTTTATGTCTAAATTATAGAAAACCATTATCCTTACGGTGTGCTTACCATAAGGATTTTCAATTGCAGCCATAAAATTTTAATTCCCAATGAGATTAGAATAATAAGTTTCCATGGAAAATACACTCGAAACGATTACGAAAATCAAACCAAACCCTTAACATTCGCAATGTCGCGACTGTACCAAAAAGTTGTATATAATATGTTCTACATATTACTTAAAATTATTCCACAAATATCATTTGTATTCACAAATATAAACATATATATATATATGAATTAATAATTAATAATTAATTATATATTTATATATATATGAATTAATAATTAATAAATATATATATATATATATCATATATATCATTAATTTAATAATTAAAAAAAACATAAATTTAGGCATAATCTATTTACAGATAAAATTATATTAATTGCATACAAATTGTACGCACACACATTACTTACAATTTTGCACAACTATATTCAATGCACCAACAAAGAAATAATGCATACACATTCCCTTAAAACAAAAACAAAAAGAAGAAATCCATACACATTTGCTAATAGCAAAACACAAGCAGCTAACGCATAAGCAAGCAAGTTGCATATATTCTAAACGCATAATAGTCAAAAATGTAAAATTAACTATTAGCAAGCAATCAAAATGAAACCAGTTTACGTTTTTTGCTGTTGCTAATGCATATTCTTATTTCATTTTCATATGCAATGCATTAGCAATTAGTCGTTTGACAAAAATTGACTGGTCAATATTTATGCATTAGTCAAAATATGGTTGCTTTTGCTAATTTTCAGCAAGCAATTCAAACCCTGTTTAGAACGCAAAAATAACTCTTATTTTTGAAAACAAATTTTACTCATATTGGCCTGCCTGATATTTTTAAAAACGAAAATATAAAATGCATTTTTCATATAAGTTAGTTGTTTTTGTAATTTCATACAAATATATTATATTTATTTTTAATTGTTAAATATCAATCCTATTCTGTTTGTAGAGGCATTATTTGTTGCATGCTTTGATATTATTCTTTCTTAGGTATAGAACCTAATCTAGGAACGTCATATGGGTATTTGGCAAATACTTGAAACAGCTGTAAAATCAGCCAAAAATTTAATTGATGAAAATAATATAAAAGGAACTTTTGTTGTTGTAGTTCACTACTTTTCGAAACCATTTTTTAAAAATTTCTGAAAAGGACCTCTGTATAAATATTTTAATATTTTCTATATTATAAATCAAACAAAAACCACTACGATTTTTTGAAAAAACATTTTCAATATCTGATTTAACTACTTAAGTAATGGATGTTGATGATTTAAAAAAAAACGAAGAGAAAAACATAAACAAAATAAATTAATAACGTTGAGAAAAAAATATGAAAATACAAAATAAACAATTGTTGTTGTAAAGATGCGAGCGGTATAGCCACTGAAATGATGTTAGTAAAAAATAAGCAGGCGTTTGTGCTGCTACTAAAATGCGTAATGAAACAAACTTGTTGTGAAATTTTATAAAAGAAATAAAAAAAAAAATACTATTTCAGAATTCTTGTATTGTATACATCGATGTATAAATAAATATTCATGTAAGACTACATGTAAGAATTCGGAACGCGGAAAGTACTGTACTTCAGCAATAATATATACATACATCAAACAGAGTTAATTATATATTAAAAAGTTTTACATAAATATAAACATAAATATTAATAAAATAATTTACCTGGTTGATTAAGGAGCGGTTCCTTTCTCTAAAATGTGATGTTCTTAATGGAGAACTTCTTGATATGTCACTGTTTGTAAGGATATCGCGTTCATGCAAAGCAGGAAACGTTATTGCTTTTCCAAGTCGTAAACCAAAATTGTCTGTAGGAGTCGGTGGTTTAGTCAATCCAAGATTTTTGTTAACAAAAGTTCTAGTTGAAGATATGTTTGGAATTTTCATTTCTTTATTGTTTTTATGTCCTGATGATATAGTTTGCATTTTGTTACCAGGTACGTTAAATTTTCTATCTGGAGCAAATTTAAATTTTTCTGGATCTGGAACTCTATTTTCATCCATTAATAATAACTCCGCCGTTTGCGGATAAAGACGTGATGATTGAATACTGAAAAAAATAAAAGAAATTAATGTTTTAATTCATAAAAATATCTTAAAATGCCTTTTAAATGTATTTTAGTTAAAAGGTATTTTTATTTTATAAGTGTATTATAAAGCACTCTACAAGTGAACGTTTCATAAACTTTTGATAATTATATAAGATATGTTAATTATATTTCTGTTAAAAATGAAACTATCTGTAGTAATCGGATAGACAAAGGATAAAAATTTGTTTAGTGTTGTATTTTGTCTAATAATTAATTTTAATTTAACTAACTAAAATAATTATTATCCATTATTTAATTATAATGTTAAAGCGCCCTCTGAATTTTGCTGCCTCAAAGTTTTTAGAGTTGCGTCGTGAAAAATCCGACAGTCGTAAGTACTGCCACTACATTTGCATTGCGTATTTTTGAAGTCGCACCACATACCCCCTACAAAATAAAATTATATTTTTAATCTGTAGATATACTTAAAATAGGCACTATCATTTCGATCAACATAGTATTGAGAAATATATTCACCAATTTTTTATATTTTTATATACGTGCATAAGTTTAAAATGTATTATTGTTTCTTCTTCGACTATCATTTAAATAAAAATTGTGTTGATTTGCAATGGCTCTAGCCGTGCAAATCGTTTGCATCGCCTCGCAAATGAAAATTGGCCGTGAAAATATTAGTTACTTTACTACAACTTCAAAATCGCAAAACCACAAAAACATATAACACTTCGTTCAATAATGTGTGTGACTGACACATAGATGGCGGCACTAATACTAAATAAATATTTTTCTTCGAAAGGGACAACCTTTTTAGGCTTACTGTCAAAATCATATGTTAATCTGACCATTTGTTTACAAGTTACAGTGCTTTAAGTGACGCTACTTTTGAATTTTCAAAAAAAAATGAATTCAAAGCAATTCCGTGTGCTGATTTATCATTGTTTTTTAATGAAAAAAAATACTGTTCAATGCCAGGAATGGTTTGAAAAACATTATTCGGACTTTGCTCCATCAAAAAGAAGCCTTTGTTATTGGTATGCCGAATTCAAACGTGGTCGTACAGACACCGATGACATTCCATCTACTGGACGGCCAAATGACGCTGTTATTCCGGAAAACGTTGAAAAAACACTGAAAATCATTATGTCCGACCGTAAAGTGAAAGTGAGGGAGATTGTTGACATTCTACAGATATCAGCAGGCAGTGTACACACCATAATACACGAACATTTGGGTATGAAAAAGGTGTTTTACAAATGGGTGCCGCGTTTGCTCACACCGGAGCAAAAACAATAACGAATCGATGATTCAAAGAGCTGTTTGGACATGTTTACGCGCAATAAGTCGGAGTTTTTGCGTCGGTACATCACGATGGATGAAACATGGATCCACCATTTTACTCCAGAGTCAAATCGGCAGTCTGGTGAGTGGCATGCAAAGCGACCAAAGACGCAGCATTTGGTTGGCAAGGTTATGGCGTCTGTATTTTAGGATGCGCATGGAATAATATTCATCGACTATCTCCAGAAAGGGAAGACCATCAACAGCGACTATTATATAGCGTTATTGGAGCGTTTGAAAGACGAAATCGCAAAGAAACTCATATGGCCTCATATGGCGAAAAAAACAGTTTTGTTCCACCAAGACAATGGACCGTGTCACAAGTCGATCAAAACGATGGCAAAATTGAACGAATTGAGCTACGAATTGCTGCCGCACCCACCGTATTCTCCAGATCTGGCCCCCAGCGACTACTGGCTCTTCGTAGACCTCAAAAAGATGCTTCGTGGTAAGAGATTTGGCTCAAATGATGAAGTAATCGCCGAAATTAACGCCTATTTTGAAGGCAAAGAAAATTCGCTTTACAAAGGCGGTATCGAAAGATTGCAAAAGCATTGAAATGATTGTATCTCCCTAAAAGGGGACTATGTTGATGAATAAAAATAATTTTGGCAAAAAAATGAGTTTTAATTAGTCAGTCACACACATTATTGAACGAAGTGCTAATCATGCGCATGTTCAAGCGTCATTTTTATTAAGAGTCAAGTCATTTATTTTTCTAGGCATCCTTTTAAAAATTTTGAATGAAGCCAGATTTATTTTCGATGTACCTATCTTTCAAAAAATCTACACAACACAATATTTTTTCTAAAAAAAATTAAAATTAAGTGCTAACCAATTTCATTATTTACGCTTATACCTAGGTATGTATTATTTAATTATCATAAATCGATTAAAAATGTTTGAATAAATTAAAAATATTCTAATAATATTGTTCTAAAAACCGCAAATTCATTATAAATTTTAGCATTTTATAACAGTATTATAACAATATTTAAACTTTATGAAGCGTTTATTTATAAAATATTAAAATGCTTTCTAACATTGTTATCAAATATTCATTAGTAACATTTTTGACTACCAGTGTTACAAAAGTTTTGTAACTTTTTCTCAATAAGGTCGTACGTATATAAAGCGATAGTGGTAATAACTTACTTTTGTCCATTTGCTATTTCTTTTAAAACTGCAGCTCTGGCAGCTAGTTCTTCTGCACGTCTTTGCTGCGTCAGTTCTTTTGCACGCTCAGTCCAGATAAGTTCTTTTAATTTCTGAAAGCTTCCTTGAACTGCTGCAGAATTTTGATTGCTTGTACTGTTATGCGTTGATCCATTTGACCCGACATAACGATATTGAAAGTTGGGACGCCGCAGTCCTATAGAACTCGAAAAAGGTTTTGTTTCGCCATTGTAGGGGCGCGAGGATCCACTTTCCGTTAAGTGACGTTGTCGTAGTTCATTGAAACGTTGTGAATAAAGAGGTTCACGATTAAGAACGCGGCCAAAAACTGGTGAATTCGAATGGTCACCGTACTGTGGCATTACGCGAAATCTTTAATTGTAAATAATTATAATGTTAAAAATGTACTATTAAAAATTATTACACAAGTTCTATTATCTTTTTTACCTGATGTGTTTGGTAGGTAATATCAAAATATATAATTTAGAATAAATTAAAGCATAAATATTAAAAATATATAACTTGCATAAATTATTTCTGAAATTGGTAAATTTAATTTCTTTTAATAGTTATTTTATTTGTAAAACTATTTTTTGAATATGAAGCCTTTCTTACTTGTTCAGAGAAAATGTATTAATTTAATTATATTAAAAGAAAAACCAGCTAAATTTTAAATAAATATATAATATGATATAAAACATAAGTGTGTATCATTTTATTACAAACCTATCACCATCTACAGTGATTATGAACGAAAAGTGATTATGAGGAAAATGATTTAAGAAAGATGAAGATAACCATTTATTGTTAGGCAGCGCTAATGTGCGCTAATGCCTGCTACAATGTGAGATGTTTGCAAATCAATTTTAGTGACGATGCGTTCGTGGAATACTTCCAACGTTAACGCGTCGCTATAAATGGTCTACCCATTACGGTAGATGAGGTTATGCTAAGCGGAAAACTTGACTTATCGAGATTGAGACTGTAGCAAAAGACGGTCAGACAACGAAAGATATTTTGGAGCGTCCTGCCGGAAAGCTCGCCATTTTAGATATCGGCAAAGTTGACCCAAATCACAATAGGGTTGTCTGTGAAAGGAATGATGCCGAATGATTGCGAATCATTGTTAATTGAAAATCTTTATCTGGCAACCATGACAAATAACTGACTCTTGACATAATAATTGCGAGACTCCATAAATGTTTTGGCACTTTTTACTAGACTTTCCCAAAATCCAGCCCACCAAGCAGCTCATTTCATTTTGAAATGAATTTCCATCGAATTCCTATATGTGCTACAATGTTCTAAAAATATTTTGATTCGATTAAGTTTTTTAGGGTTTGAAGGTTTTTGTTTATCCTTTTAAATGTTTTGTTTTTGAAAAACAGTGTCACGTTTTTATTTATATTTTTATTTATAACTGCGCATGTAAATAATATTATGTAAACGATTTCTTGATAGTTTTCGTTTACAGTTTTTATGTACAGTGGTCCTGCGAAATCAATTCCAGTCGTCTTGTTTTACTTTACTTCTGTAAGTCCTAGATTCCCAAGAGTTCTACAATTCTTTCTGCAAGTTTATTTTCAATAAATTTGTATTTGTTACCTTGCACTTGTGATACTAGCAGCGAATCTGAACGAATTTGTGGAACGACAGTCGGACTTATGACAATACCGGTTCTTTATATGTTTAAAACGTATGGCGTACTTATTTCCAATTGCTTCCTACACTCTGTTCGGTTCGTTGGCATTCTTGTTCTTTTGAATTACACGATTCTCTTTGAGATGTTTGTTTTTACATATTATGCTTAAATGTTTGCTGATATATGTTGCCCATTTTAACCAAGGGTGGCAAAAATCCTTTTACTGAACTCTTCATGAGGAAGCCGCATGATAATGGGTCACGCAGAACTCTAGTTCTGTAACTTTTGAGGCCGGCGCCCAGCTTAGCTACTTAAAAGCCACGCAATACCCGGGAGAGTGATGCGATCCGTACTCTCCAGGCGTAGGTGTACTGTTCTGTCCAACTGTATTTTTGCTCAGCCTCTCCAATATATGACCACATTGAAGAATAAGTGTGATCTAGCCATGGTATGGGATGCTGCTAAAGTGCTCGTTTCTTTCATGCAAATTTTATTCGTGTCTGCTGTGCCTGTCTTATCGGTCAAAGTGGAAGTTTATAATATGACTATGAAATCTTCTGACAATGTTTCCATTTGCATGTTTCTACTGTCTGCATATACTAACTGAGCTATCGAAGCCACTAAAACCCAAACTTACGTGGGTAGAATGATTATATTCAATTACAATCGATTGGAGTTGCATTTTGCAACCTGGTGGTGTGACCTAAAGATCAGCAGAGGTGTTAGATAAGGGCTTTGCTCCCTTTTACTTTTTTTTCTTTTTTTCTGAATATAAAACATGAGTCAAAACCCGATGATATTACAGTCTCCAAGTGGTACCTGTACTGATACGGTGAATCCACCTCCTTCAGCAGCACGCACAATGGATTTGGAGGTGCGAAACTCACGTTTAAACAGAATCAATTCGTTAGGTACAACTGTAACCACAACAACTTTAAACAACCGACCACGAAACGACGAAAACTTTCTCTCCATGAAATCAAAATCCGTGATCGGCGTCTGGAATGTTGGATCTCTAATCGGACCAGGTAAACTTGAGCAACTATCCCGGGAACTCCTTAAATTCAAGCTTGACATGAACGGCATCAGCGAGTGAAGATGGAAAGACCCTGGAGAAATCAACTTATCTTATGGAACTAAGTTTCTGTACTCTGGCAAAAGTAATACCCATCATAATGGTGTCGGTTTTTTCCTCAGCAAAACTGCCGTTCGTGCCCTCTTCCAATGGCAGCAAATCAACGACCACTTCATTTGGTACCGATTTCGCTCTCGTGCACGAAACGTAACTATAAATCAAACCTGAACTCGATGAACCCGATGAAAAACTGGCCTATTATAATCCACTTTTCTTATATTATTCATAAAGCACATAAACGAGATATTCTAATTGTAATGGGTGACTTAAACGCCAAAATTGATGCGGACAACACAAACATAGAGCACATACTGGGAAAACATGGTTTGGGGACTAGAAACGAAAACGGTGAACTCCGTTTTTGAAGCGTGCAATGACGCCAACCTTGTTATCGGAGACTCCATTTTCCCTCACAAAGCCTGCCATAAGTCAACCTGGGTGTCATCCGAAGGCCAAACCGAAAACCAGATTGACAACTTATGTATAGGAAAAATGTGGAGAAGCAGCCTCTTGGACGTACGCACCAAAAGAGGCGCCGACATCGTGTCAGATCATCATCTTCTAGTCATTCGTTTAAAAATCTGCACGGCTGGATAGCGATGTACTTTGAATTCACTGCCTAAACTCGATATTTCGAAACTAAATTCTGAAGATGTAAAAAACACCTTCGTCAGTAAACTTAGTACCTCAATTGAACAGCTCCAAAGCCGAGAAGTGTCCGGCAACACTGAACAAATTTGGCAGAAAATCAAATCAGCATTTCTTACAAATGCAGAAGATGTTTTGGGTCATCACTCCCGCAGCAGAAAACCGTGGATATCAGAATCTACCTGATCTCTCAATGAATGCTGCAGAGCTGCAAAGATCTCACGTGATAATGCTAAAACAAGAGCGGTCAAAGCAGAAATCCAAGTCATCTACAATGACATGGTGAAATGAGTAAAGTTTTCATTCAAGCGAGACAAACGTTTATGGTATGACAAAGCAGCATCCGAGTAGAGAAATATAAAAATTTTATATGACGCCAGAGAGCTTGCAGGCAGAAGGTTCTGTTGTGTAGGCCCTATACGGGACAAAAATGGAAGACTTCTCACATCCACCGAAAACCAACTTTAACATTTCAGGGAACATTTTTCAGAAACTCTTGCTATCACCAACACTGTCACACCTACTGAACAAAACAGCTTCTCCAGCCAAAACAACCGCTGTACGTCTGTTATGAATAGAGTACCTGATGAAGAAGAAATTGTTCAAGTTATATGCAGGTCCAGATAAGATCACCATGGAACTGTTAAAAGCTTGTCCTTTGACTACCGCTAAAATGTTTTAAACTCTCCTGAAAAGCATATGGGTAAACATTCGTCTTCCAAACGATTGGCTGGAAGGTTGCTGACCGTATTACCAAAGAAAGGTGACCTGAGCTAATGCCGAAATTTAAGAGACATTATGTTGCTGTCCTTCGAAAATATTAACTCGTATTCTTCTGTCCGGCATCAACATTAAACTCGAAGACAGTATTCATTGACAACAGGTATCGTTGTTGTTGTTCGTACGTGGACCAAATTAATACCCTCAAAATCATCGTCGAAAAATTTGCAGAATGGTGGAAAGCCATAAACATATTATTCATCGACTACAGCTGCGCTTTCGACAGTGTCAATAGAGGCTGCATTTGGAACTCTCTCTTTTAAAGGGGTATTTCTGGGAAAGTTGTCGATCTCATCAAAGCACAATATAACGACTTCAGGTGAAGAGTCCTCCTTAATGGCCAACCGTCAACCCCCTTTGCCACTACTTCAGCTGTTCGACAAGGCTGCCTGTTGTCGCCTATTTTGTTTTTAATTGTGTTAGACGACGTCCTTACTAAAACTATTGACAGTCACAACGGGGTACACGCTGGGGGTTTTCCAACCACCTCGTAAAGAGCGTTCTTCAGGCAGCATTTCGATGGCCATCATGATGGACATCGAAGGAGCCTTTGATAAATTTAAATCTGCTCTAGCTGAGCGAAAAGTCTTTTCACTCATTATTGGATGGATAGATGAATAGGCAAAGAGCAGTAAATCTACAAAATTGAAGACATAGATTGAGAGGCAGTGATGATGGTCAGACCTATTATAACATAAGCGTCAGCTGTCTGGTAGGGTAAAGCCACCCAAAAGACAATAAAAGCGAAGTTAGATAGGGTCCAGCGACTAACCTATGTTGGAATAACGGGCGCTATGCGCACCACACCAACACCGGGATTAGAGGCGATGCTAGGTTTGCTTCCGTTGGATTTACATATAAAAAAACGGCGGCACTGACAGCAATTCGAATGAACCGGAGCTCCACATGGAACAACTTCGGAAAATTGGTGGGCCATCGGAAAATTCTTGACCTCGTCCAGACCGCGGTCAAGGAAACGCAGATGCCATTGGAGACTATGAGGTGAGCTTATGAGACAAAAGTGTCCTATAGAACACTGATAGTAGACGGCCTTCTACATAATGAATGTGAAAGGAATGATATCTGCATCTTTACCAATGGCTCTTTGATGGATGGCAGAGCTGATGCTGGGGTTTACTCGAAAGAGCTAAAGCTGACGTGCACTTTACATCTAGGAATATATCTTTCCATCTATCAGGCGGAAATGTTTTCATCTATCTATTATCGAAAATAGATGTCTGATTCCCAACCACCAATTCGGGTTTCATGAGCACCACTCTACTTTTAAACAAGTGAATAGAGTCTACAACTTCGCAAGACTTGCATTGGAAAATAAAGAATACTTCACAGCAGTCTTTATCGACATAACACAAGCATCCGATAAAGTATGGTATACCGGACTTCTCTACAAATTGAAGTTACAACTCCTGCATAGTTACTTCTCCATCTTAAAATCATACATACTAGATCGGCATTTTATGGTTAAAATGAATAGTTGTCACACTGAAATATTTCGCAACTTCTGATTTGTTGAGTAGATTCTAGAAATTGTAATTCTTCATAAGGCGGTGATTACCACTGGGTAGTTCCGTATATGCCAGTCAAATATTGTTATTGCCATAAGTAGTACTTCTTATTGACGCATAGAATAGATTGTACATAATAAAATTAAGTTTTAAAAAAAAAAATCTGTCAGGCGGAACTTATGGCGGCATCACATGCGCTGGATCACCTATTGGATTGTCAGGTGTATCAGAAAAAGATTCTGATAGTGTTGAACAATGAAGACATTGTGCCAATGTCCAGCACTAACAAGTAGGAGGAAGACTGTCTTGGGACACCATTGGGTTGGTGATGACTTGGCAGGCAACCTCAAGCTAAATAAGTTGCTTGCATTAACAAGAGATGTAGTTATGCGAACGGAAGCCACTCCAGCTTTAACTCAATAACGACATCCGAGAATAGAAAGACGAAAAAGGACCCAAGTAGTTTCGTGGTCTACTTCGGCTAATCCTTCAATTCAGTGGGGCCACTTGTTGGACGGTGCGCTATCTTAACGTCCCACCATATATATCTATAAGAGCGTTCTACCCTACGGCTGCGAATCCTGGCTTTATACCAACAATCTGATACATAAACTGCAAACAAATGCTTTAGGAGAATTCTGAAAGTCTGGTGGCCCCGCATTATTAGAAATTCCGAACTATGGTGAATATGCCGCCAACTTCCTATAGTAAACGAAATCAAAAAGCGTAAATAGCAATGGATGGCGCACACTTTAAGGAAGGCACCAAATGAAATATGCAAACAAGTATTAACATGGAAACCTCAAGGAAGCAAAAAACCTAGTAGGCCCAAGCAAACATGGAAGCGAACACTAGAGAAGGAAATCCAAGCAAGCGGGAAAACCTTTGCAGAAATTAAAACACTGGCAAAAAATCGTGACAGTTGGAATAAGTTCGTTATGGCCCAATGTTCCCCTGGGAACGTACTAGATTGAATAATAATGACATCCTCGGAGGAACCCCAACGGAATTCCTCGGAGTTCCAATGGGGTGTTCTTCGGCGCAATATACCGATGCATATGTGAAGAATACCGTGATGTTGAGCCTTCACGGCAGGTATCCACGTAAAATTCTGGACCTTCATTTCTGAACGTATTGTTTTCTTAATAAATATAAGAAAACTATTTTTTCTAAAAAATGAAAACCAAAATGTTGCAGAACAAAAGGCTTTTGGCTGCACTCAAGAAAGACACGCATAGATTTCGTAAAGCAAAAATAAATTCATACCACAAGTTTATTGCTTTTTACATAGATTGCTTTTAAAAATAAAATAAAAATAAAAAATAAAAATAAACTAACACCATTCATAAAATAAAACATTGACATAACAACTTACGATCCGATATTTGCCGTTGATGAATAAAAGGGCTCCCAAATGTTGTATGCTAATGGATCTCGAAAGGTTGGAATTTCATTTGATATTTCAGCAGCTCTTGATTGTCGTTTTGAAAATCTGATATATGAATAAAGAAAATAATATACAATATTATAATCATAACAATAATAATAAATATAATAATACATTTTTTGTTGTTGTAAGGGATATAATAAGTTATTAAATATACATATATATATGATGTAATGTACCCTCAATCACATAATCGATATAACGGTGTACCGATCCTAAATGGGTACAATCGCATAATCGGTATCACGGTGTACCAATCCTAAATGGGGAGTAATCTAATAATGACTGCTTGAAAAAATTGCTATTTAATTTATATTTATTCTTAATTTATAAATCCCTACGCTACAAACGCAACGTGTTTTTGCCGGAGGAATACACCAAACTAAAACTAAAACAAAATAATAGTTGATAGTAGTTGATTGCTCTAGTGAGTCAAAGCAAAGTTTCAAAAGGTAATAGTTATAGCATCTAAAAAATCAACAACTTGTTTGACTGTGGTTATAAAATTCAAATACTTTTATTTGAGTAGACCAGGAAAGCTAAAACCACAATCAGCCAGCGAATTGGATTGAATTGAATTTAATAATTAAAGAAGATAAATATTGACTTAAAATCTTGATTATTGGTACAGACTTTAAGCAATAACTGCAGACAGCACCTAGAAAATGCAGTGAATTTTCGTATTTAGATTTTATTTATATTCCTAATGACATAATAGAAACCTCATTTTTATTAGACTGCAAATTAAAGTCGAAGCATTCGCTTTTTTTCGAAGATTTTGGAATTTATAACACTGTGCGTTATGTTACATAGAAATAAAAATGTTCCTGACATATTACAGAGTTAAAACAATTTGCTATTTAAAGAAATTCTGATTCTATATTCGGCTAAAACAATTCTAACATAATTCTAAATATTTCACTCAACAAAACTGGGAACATTACACATTACATCACATTTTTAAAAGTGACAACGATAACAAAATCATATTTTGAAAATATCCATCAACGAGTTCTTATTTTTATCTCATATCAAAGAATCTAGAATCCAATCAAGCGCTACGCTCATATAAATGAAATACCCTTTGGATTTATTATAAATTCACCCAATCTCATGCAACAATGTTGCCTCAAGTGACAACTTGTATGATATTCAATCCACACTCATTCGAACCCAATATAATTCTATTACATATGGTTTAAGTAAATAAACTCTATGCAATATAATTAAATTAAATATGTATTATAGTATTAAAACATAATTAATTATGAAACAACATGGTCTTTATTACGATACCTTGTTACCTTGCTACTATACAGCACAACGATGTGTTGACTGCCAAACACGTAATAGCATTTATACTAAAAACAACTACGGTTGCGCTACTGCCAGTGCCTACACACCTAGTCATGGGTAATATATCTGTATGTGGCCAGTATTAAATTTTATTAAAAATCATATTTTAAATATAGTGGAAGGACTCCACCAGACATGCACAAAGCCAATCATAAATAAAAAATCACCAAGATAAAGTATATGCATCACTTATAAAAATATAGACTCATATAAAGACATTTAGTATGCCATAACAAAGAAGAATACAAAAATATGTCTTTATTCGTACGCATGAACTAGAAGATATGTATGCGTTTGCTCTAAAATATGGTTTTGACAAAGCAAAATGTGTTATGTTCATTGTTTGATTGATAAGTGGTTCCATTAACAGTCCGATTTGACATTTTTTTGTTTTATTGTATCGTGACTTTTGTTGTTTTTTTTTCAAATAATTCAAAAAAAAATTAGAAAGTGTAAAGTCCCTGATTTGAATCGAAAAACTATTGTGAGTATAATAATAATCGTTGTTTATTTATTGTTCGAGATCAAAAATATACTAAAATATAGAATATTTTCTAATTTTCACTGTTTTGATTTGGAAGGAGTGGATAAAGCAATGTGAATCAAGTAAAAAATTTATTGCGAACACAACCTCATTTTATTTGTATGGTAAATATTTTACTGCCGATGTTAATGCAAAAAAAAGGAATCACATGGGGATATTATACATCAGATTTGACTGTTGACTTGGTGCGTTGAAATGCGAAATTTGTGCCAAGTCTCATATGGCTTTAGAGCTTCCCGGTCATGTGTTGATCTCATTAACACAGTGCGGATAACTTTCAAGCAGCGTCTACGTACGCTGCATTTATTGACTTTTAAAAAGCTTTTGACAACATGGTACGTGATTTTATTTGAAGGTTGCTACGAAGGAGAGATATGCCCATAAAAATGTTACAGATAATTAAAGCAGTGTACACTATTCACAGATGCCGTAACCTTCATATGAGGAAACTCTCAGATCCCTGTTGACTATCTTGTTCATCTTGTGCGAGTACTAAAGTTAAAAAGCGAAAATGGAGGTGGATATGGCATACTCTCCGTAAAAATAACATCTAAACAAACAAGCGAAACAAACGTTAGAGAGGAATTTGCAACGCTGGTCGACCTGGTGTACCCACTAAAACTTGGCGGAGAACTGTCGATTGCAAACTAAATGAGACGGGTTATTCGTGGAACACAATCTGCAGAGAAGCAAACAATAGTGTCAGATTTAGAGGTATTGTTAAAGCCCTATGTTCCACTGGGAGAAGAGGACTGCCGTAAGTAAATAAGTAAGTCATGTGTAATAGCAACATTTGCAGGTATGACAAACAGTATGATGGACATGAAAATATTTTGATATTTGAACCGAAAACTAATAATGTTGTCGACATATAAATTCAAAGATCCCTAATTCAAAAACGTATGAGACCAGTGTCGCCTCTCTCTACGTGCGGCATATGTTTTCAAAAAATTAAGAATGTTAAATTAAATCAAAATAACAATCTTTTATTGCAGAAAAAGCAAATTGAAGAATCTGAATTAAGTTATGTTTTAAAAAGGGAAAATAGGACATTGAGGAAATTAGAAATTAAAAGTCAATTGATATCAAAAAAATCAGTGGATGATTTGATTGATGGAATGCATATTACTAATAACGAAAAAGTGCACATTCAAATGATACTTAAACCTAATTATTTATTCTATGTCCACTGCTATGTTTTTATTTCTGAGAAACACGTTATAATTAAGTTTTATTTATGGCATTTATCCCTGCGGAGATATTAGTATTTATATACAGCCCTTAAAAAAGCAATCACTAGAAAGGATTTAATTGACAAAGAATGCATTTTAATATTTAGTTAAGTATGTGAGTTAGTTGACTTCAGAAACAATCGGACAGAATTTTATGTTATCTACCATAATTAAAAATCTTCTTAAATATTTTATAGCGAACAAACTTACTGAAATGTGAAACATTTAATACAGAGGGTTACGTGTACATATATGGGTTTAAATTGAATATCATACTAGTTGTAACTTGATCAAACATTGTTGTATAAGGTTGGGGGCATTTATTATAAACTCACCAGCAAAATGAAATGGGTATTTCATAAGGTGCCTTACCATTTGTATACACACCTTACATATATATTATATTTTGATTACACCTTATATGTAGTAACCAATTTATATTATGTAATATATAAACAATACTACTTACATCCACATAGCTCTAAGTTGTTCACATGTTGGTTCTTGAGAGCTCAGAGGAAATGATTTTGATCCAAGAACTTCTCCACCGCTTCCTGGTGTCGTATTTAATCCTGCAGAATCACCTTTCTTTGTGGAAGTAATTCTTTCTTGAGAATTAATAGTTCCGTCTGCGCCACTTAATATATTTGTTGATTTAGAATTTCCAATATTGCTAGATTGTTTTCCAAAGTCATTGGTACGACCAAACAGCCCGGAAGAGAATTTATTACCAGAGTAATTAATGCTAACGCAATTAACAAGCCATAATGGTTCAACAATTACTGTATACAAAGTAATGAAAAAAAAACATTTCTGAAAATGTAAACAAAATAATTATCATTTTAATTTCATTTTTCCCCAAATCTTATTGGTAAGGATGATTTAAAATATGTTATCATAAATAATAATTCCTTAATATTTCATTTAATTATTAACTTAAATTTATTGTGTTATGCCTGCCAATCGTGAGTTATCTGAGATATAACCTGCTACAAATGGGTTCTATACAAAATAAAAACTCAAAAAAAATCAATATGTAATAAATGTGAGCGTATTTGAATTAAGGTGTTTACATTTAACTTAATTAAATAGTTAAATAATAATACTCATATGTAGGATTGTCATAAATTATACCACTTAACATCCAGTTACAGAGCATCTTGTGGCTCTTCGACTACGACCCCATCGGTGTAATGTTAGTGAAGACTGTGATGTTAGAGTTTTCAGATACATGTTAACCGATATATCTGGCCATGCGGGATGTGTCTTTAAGCTCCAAATAGCAACGCTAAGCGTTTCTGCTTCGAACTATAATTCTGATGTGTTTTGCTCAGTGCTATCGTCCAAAACTTGTTTATATTTGGAATCAATTAACGATGGCACACAGTTACTTAGCTGATCTTAATGGCGTTTGGCGTCATCTTGAAATCTTTAAAACTAATTTTATACGATATAAGCCCCGTTTGACTAGAAATTAAGCTTTAAACCCATTTAGACTTAACCCACAGTGAACTGCCTGCAATGTTTTAAAACTAACTATTGCGGAAACTTTATTAAACGTAGTTTCTTGCAGATGCAGTTTACCGAAATCGGTCGCCAGATAAGAAGATGTATTAAATGTGTCGAATCAAATTGTTTCCCTTAAAGTTATCGGAAGTATAAGCAGCACTCTTGTCTGATACGAATTTATCACACAATAACATACTTCTTAATAGCAGCTGCCGAAGTTGTTAAACTAACAATGATACCTTCAAGTCTTTTAGAGAACGAATCTACGACTGACAGAAATTTTCAATCCAAAACATTTCGAGATAAAACAAAGCAGAAGCTTTATTTGACAGAAACGCTTGATAAAAGTTAAGTAGGCCCAAAAATAGTTGCAGCAGTTTTCTGTCCTTTGACACTAGTACTTCATGCTAACGAAATAGTTTTGGAACATCAATTCGGCTTCAGAGCTAAACATAGAACAACTGAAAAAGTGCATCGTATTGTATCATTTGTTACAAACTCATTTGAAAATAAACAATACTACACTTCCATATTTATAGATGTAGCCCAAGCGTTTGATAAAGTATAGCACGAAGGCTTAATACATAAAATTACAACTCTTATGCCAGCTAACACTTACATTTTGTTAAAAAAATACTTAAGCAAAATAATTTTCAGTTTAAGATAAAAAGATTTTGTTTCAGAACCTTGTCCTATCAATGCTGGAGTTCCCCAAGGAAGTGCAATAGATCCGCTATTATACCTGCTATATACAAATGAAAGGTCAACTTCGAAAAATTCTTTAACTGCAACATTTGCTGACGACACCGCAATAATAAGTGCACACAAAAACACCGCAATAGCACCGCGCATGCTGCAAAATCATGTTCATCAATTCGAGCATTGGTTATCAGTATAGAGTATCAAAATCAGTGAACAAAATTGTACCCATGTAACATTTGCTCTAAGACCAGGCAACTATCTCAATATTGTAATAAAGGAACAAAAAGTACCGACTATATGACTATGTAAAATATTTAGGGATATATCTAGATAGACGTTTAACCTGGAATAAACACATAGAGGCTAAAAAGACACAAATAAATATAAAATTAATTTCATTGGATTGGCATATGGGCACGTCATCTAAGCTACCACTTGAATACAAAATTCTGCTATACAAATCGATAATACAACCTATATGGATTTACAAAATTCAAATGTGCGGAACAGCAACCTAAAATCCTAAGAATGATAACAGATGCACCGTGGTATATAAAAAATGTTAACTTTCATAGAGACTTGGGTGTACCAACAGTAATAGAAGAAGCTGTTCGATTAGACAATTAACATCTGCTAACTAATAGTTTTACTTAATTTTTATTTGCTTTAAAATATTACAAATTTTATTTGATTAAATTGAATGTCAGGTATGCCAAAAGTGGTTGAACTAACCGGATGCTAATTTAAATTTCAGGCTTGCTGCGAGCAGAAAGTTAAAGATGGTCCATTACTAGCAATTGATTTGTGCCAAATTTTTTTTTTTTTTAAAACATACATTTATTTATTGCATCTTCTCTTAAAATGAGACTAACAATAAGTTGTAAAATCTTATAACTAATTACATAATGTTACAAATTTTTATTTTAATTATACATTGTATAAAATAAAATAAAATAAGTAAACCTTATATCACGAACCTCACTTAGATTAATGGGTTAAATTTCATTAAAGTGAATGTTAGGTGGTTTCTTAAGAAAGTGGTTCAACTTTAACAGATTACTAAAAAGAAAGGTGCGGTTTTTACTTCAAGCTGTTGAATATTAATTAACGGATGGACGGTCATTTCTTTTTAGACGGGAAGTAATGGATAGAAGTGCGAGATTTCTTGCTAAGGGATTAACATGCTCTGTCAGCCTTTTATTATATTTTTTTCTTATATTGTCAAATTCAGCTTTAACTAGGGGAATTTGTAGATCTCGGTGTATACTTTCATTCCTAATATACCATGGGGCACCAGTGATAATTCTTAGTATTTTTGACTGAGCTCTTTGTATAATTTCAATATTTGAAGCACTAGCATTGCCAAATAGCTGGATACCATAAGTCCATATTGGTTTTATGATGCTGTTATACAAGAGTACTTTATACTCTAGGCACAGGGAAGATCTGCTATTAATGAGCCAATGCAACTTAGAGGCTTGGAGCTTCATTTGAATTTTTTTGGCTTCAATATGTTTGCGCCAAGTTAGTCGTCTGTCTAGGTGGATACCTAAGTACGTTATATTATCTGCTTGTGGTATGGGAATGTTGTTTAGTAAAATTGTACTCCGATTTAAGGTAAAAGTGACGTGTCTACATTTTAGTTCGTTAATTTTAATTCGCCATTTTGACAGCCATTTCTCCACCCGATATAAGTGAGATTGAAGTTGGTTTGAAGCTAGCACAGCGTTTTTGTTTCGGCATAAAATTGCCGTATCATCGGCAAACGTTGTGGTGATAACTGAACTACTTATCGGGTTATCAGATGTGTAAAGTACATACAATATAGGGCCAAGAACACTTCCTTGTGGAACGCCAGCTTCTATTGGGAAATTATTAGAAGTATATGATTTGCATTTCACTTTAAAGCTTCTATTATGTAGATACGATTCTAAAACTGAGTGGACATTTGCAGGTAATGAACAGCGTATCTTATATATGAGCCCATTACGTCATACTTTATCAAAGGCTTGTTTAACATCGAGAAATACCGCGGAACAATATTCTCTGAGCTCAAATGCGTGTCTTATTTCGTTCGTTATACGATTCACTTGCTCAATAGTTCCATGTTTTTCCTAAAACCAAACTGGTGGGAGGGTATTAAGTTTTGAATGTCAAGGAACGGTTTTAGCTTTAAAAGCGGTGCTCTTTCAAAGAGTTTAGAAAGGCATGGCAGTAAGCTTATTGGTCTGTATGAAGAGGCAAGCGTGGAATCTTTACCTGATTTATGAATTATAATAATCATGGATGTTTTCCACTCTGTTGGATAAAAGCCAAATTTAATAATGGCATTGAAAAATCTTGTGATAAAATTTATGGCCAAAAGAGGTACGTTTTTTATCATGATGGGTGAGATATTATCACCCATCATGTGATGCCTTTTTGCAATCTAACTTATTTGTGATTATTTGAACAAGATCATTGGCCGTGATATGCATATCAATAGATGGTTCATGTAGATGCTGAGTGGGAAAGTCATAATGTCCTGTTGCAGGATTTGGTTGGAACACCTCTTTAAAGTAATCAGCAAAAACGTTAGACTTTTCTTCATCACTTCGTGCCCAGTTTTCGAGAGAGTTTCTTATTGGCGAATCGAATTCTATGACGGATGAATGGTTTTTGCCATTTGGACATAGGTTTTGAATATAATTATATTGCCTGACTTTGGTGTCCTTGCTTAATGCAGATCTAAGTCTCCTTTGGGCTTCCTTAAATAAGTTTTTCGCTAAAGGGGACCTAGATTTTTGCCATTCACAGCTTAATCTACGTTTTTGTAAAACTAAATTCTCTATGTTATTATTTGTAAATACTTTATTGAATCTGAAAATTTGTCTTTAGGGGTGGAGTTTTCTGCTGCTGAAATAAGAATTGAGTTTAAAACCGAGGTTCTGTCCTCAA